TTGTACACATATGATGAGCCCTTCGTTGGGCGGGATGCCTCCATGTTCCGAATGACCAGTCCCTGCGCCTGTGATGCCGTCCAACGCCTAAAATGCATGTCGATGTCCCAAATTACCACATCCCGTCGTGTTCCAGTTTCATGGGTTCCTCTCCGTTGGTTGAAGGTCTTAGCGATAGAACTCTCCGCGCTTGATGTTGACTCCATATTCGCCTACTGCCATACCCAGGTCCTCCATAGTAAGCACGGTGCGTCCTTGATTGCCACCCTGGCCTCCACCTCCATATCCTGGTCGCTGGATGCCGAGATTGTAGTCCTTGGCCTTGGAGCCGCTATCCTTGCCGCCAGGCGCACCACCAGGCGCTGCTGCTGCCGGCGCTCCTCCTGCGCCACCCATAGGGTTGTTACTTGTGGTGTTGGATGATCTGATGCGAGAGAACTGGTAGGCGTCGGCTGCGATGTCGGCGATGAACTTCTGTGTCGCGAGCGCAAGGAGACGTGCGAGGTGTTGTGATGTCTGAGGTGGCGGTGGCAGACCGGCGCGTGTCAAGTAATAGTTGGTCACTGCATCGGGTATCTGGAGGCCTGGTTAGTGCGCGATGCTTGGGATGGAGACGGCATTTAGCATACGATCGGCGCGTAGTCATCCATCTTGCCTAGGAACTCGCGCAATGTTGCGTCCTTCTTCGCAGGTATGCGAGCCTCAAAGGCGGCGGCAGAGTCTGCCATGCCGTTGACCGCTGCGTGCTCTGCATCGTTTGCGCCGTCGAGGTTCATAGCGTCGGTTTCCAGTCGTGTCGCGTCTTGCTTGATCTCGTCGTCCACCGTCTGGTCTAGTTCGTCGTTGACCTCCATGTTCGTGTCCGGAGGTTGAGAGTTGGTTTCGGACATAGTTGCGATACGAGTGATATGTGTTGCGACGTGGTAGTGCGAGGTATGACGTGGGGTGGTTTGTTCGGGTTGCTGACTGCGGAGACAAGCGCGGGAGTGACGCGCCAAGCAGCAGGGGCGGTCACGTGACCGTCAGGGTGATTGAGTGAGCTACCTTCACTGCACATGGACTCTACAATCACGTACAATAGCTATGATCGCGTGGATCTAAAGAGTCGCAGTACTTGTGTTATTGCATACATCTTATGCTACTTATGATTCCTTAGTGATCCTGCATCAGGATCGGTTACGCCCCGTTCGGGTACTCCGGTCCTGGCGGAAGGCGTTCGCACTACGCCTGGATGGGCAACAACCTCAACGTCCATCCTCTGCTGTCATCTTTCGCTGAACTTCCCAGTTCCCTAGCAATAAAGCGACGAAGCGCAGAGCTGAAGTCGGATGGAGTGCAAAGGAAGAAGTAATACCTGTGAGGGGAGATTTGATGGAACTAATGCAGATGTGCTCAGGGAAGTCAATGCGGCACCCCGCAGAGCCTCAGCCAGACCTCGGAAGATTTCTGGAGCCAGGAGCGTAACAGCCTACGAATTGTCTTTCGCGCACGAACCCAATGAACGTCGCCGACAACGACACCGTGACGGGTATTGTGCGAGTCCCGCCTGTCTCTTGACATAGGGCAGGTGTGCAGCAGTCACGAAATCCTCTTTGTCCACGACGTCGGTACGAGCGAGCGCTGAAGATACATCCAACATCAACAGCAGATGTAGCACACACATGGCCTGTCAGATAAAGGGTCTCGCGCGTAGTCCCGTGTCGGAAGGCTTGTCTACCGTGACAGCGTCAGAACGTTGCGGGAAACTCATCTCCTTCCCCACAAGCTCAGGCAGTCTTGTGCCACCATGTCATCCTTGTGTCACCGCTCTCACCGGAACCGTGGATGCTACTGAGTCGCCGACCTGACGATACTGAACTAAGTACATCTACCATCGACATTTAGCCTATCATTACACGGGCTTGAAGAGGGGGTACGGCGCCGACCACCGAGACGGCAAGGGCGAAGAGCACAAGGTCTGGCAATTCTGGTACGAGCAACACGCGCTGCCACCTCACGAACACGCGAGCGATGCCTATAGCCGGATGGAAGGCTATACTCTCGTACGAGGACAATTCAAGCACGGACTGGAAGAATATCTGTAAACGCTCCCAGAGCGGCCGACCAGCGCAGCGAGATACGCTATTGCGCCTTGCGCAAGAAAGCTTGTGTGGCAATTGAGACATGCTTCGATACAGATGCTGCATCCAGCTCCATGATGCGAGACGCCTTCACGCCTTCCAATTCGAGAGATAACTAGCCGGATCCAATTTTGTGAGTAAACCTGAAGGGTCTTTCTGCCGCTTGCTGATCTGATCCCACAGTTTGCTCAGATACGTAATTTTGCATTGTATCCGTACTAGAGCCTTACCGGTATGGTGGTAGGTCGGCGATCTTACAAAATCGTACCATAGCAGATAAAGTGCTTTCTACCAAGAAAGCTTCGCATCCTTCCCGTGGCCCGCGTCCGCGTCATGCCTCACCCGCTCTTGCATCCGTAGCGCTGACACTGTTTTGAGGCGTTCACTTTATTACATCCATTCCCCAATTGTGCAGACGTTGTACCACCGCAACCTGATCTAGATCTGGGGGCCTTACGTCTGCATGTCCACAATTCGGGTGTCTAGCGCAACGCATCTATATTGGAGATAAAAAATGGTCTCCGAGGCCTGACGCTAATTACCCGGCTAGGCTAGCCCTCTGTAAATTACTGGAGACAGCTGTGGCGCATGCGTTGGCCTTGGCCCCACCAGGCGAGGCTTGTAATCCACTACCACCATCTCATCAAAACGATGAAGACGATATTGTGCACAAACATCGCAGTAGCTGCTTGGGTGTCTGATCAAATTCTCCAGAACCGGAATTACCGAACTCGTGTCAAGATCAGCCACTACACCGGTTCGTTACAATGATTCCAAGGTCATCTTCATGAGATAGTGCCACAGCACCACACCGTCGTGTAGCGTATGGACAAGCCTTGCATCCGCCGCGACTACTAAGGCCCGCTCCGCACGCTACTGTCAGGCGTTCCCCTTTACTCCGGTGGACAGTATCCCTGTTGCAAACCGCGAAGACGACCCATGTGTAGAGTAGAGGCATGCTGGTACTCGGGGCCGTCGATACCACAGTCAAACCTGACCCACGTCGCACAGCAATCTACACTCGAATCGACCGGTTCGTCTCTAGGGCTTACACGGACTTCCATGCCGGTTTCACTTCAAATAAAGACCTCATGCAAGGCCTCCAACGTTGACATCACATTGAAGCCTCCTCGGCGTTCATCTCTAGGTAAACTCATCGCAGGAACGTCGCTCTATGGATGGAGAAGCCCGATGGGCCGATATCTACTAACGAGAACGCAAGGATAATCCACTTCGTGGAGGGCCACAGCGTCTCGAAGATTGTTTTCGGCCCACGACCAAGCAGTGCCAGCCTCTCGATGGCTAGACTCTCTCCACCAGGGCTTTCTGCCATAGCTCTCAACTCAAGCACCGGGAGTCTAGTATAGCCATCCTCCATCTATAAAGCAACCTGCCTCCCTCTTCTCAATTCTTCATCCACTCACTCCTCAAACCACTTCATTCACTCTACAACCGCAAAACTCAACCCGCAAACCTTCAACATGCAGTTCACCCAGATCCTCCTCCTGGCCATTGCGCCTTTCATGGTCGCCGCCACCCCAGTCGACGCTGAGGGTGTCACTTCCGTCAACAGCTTCCCCCTCGAGGCCCGCGGCGGCAAGGACTTCTGCGGAAGTGATCTGCGCTCTGCTGGCGGCGCTTGCACCTTCGGTGGCGGCGAGAACGACCCCCACGCTTGCGGTGTCAAGGACAGGCAGGTTGTCGTAAGTGTCTCCAACGAGTAATCTGCAAAACTGAATGCTAACAATTGTAAAGTTGTACTGCAAGGGCGGTATCTGGACCATCGACCACCGCTGCGCAGCTGGTCAGATTTGCAGGTGCAACAAGGGTACTCCCAAGCGTGGCGACCTGGTTTGCAAGTCTGGTTAAATTACTGGTTGCTTTTCAGTCACAAGTGTTAAAGAGTGGAGTTTGAGGATTGCCAGGACGTGTGGTGGAGAAGTCTCTCATTCAAGGTTACATACCACCAATTTATTTGACAACGCCCTGTCACAATGAAATCGTTCGAGAAATCATCATACTCATCATCATGTTCAAAGATCTTCGACTCCCGTGCTCCTGCTCCTGCCATATCGCTCAGACCGTATTTCTACATGCTTTTTGCACGACTGCGCGTTGTGTCTAATCGCTCCACAGTTTCAGAGCTCCACTTAGCAATCTAGACTCTTTCTAAAAAAGAGGTGGTGGCTACGATTGGTAGTTATCATATCATGGTTCCTTGGTACAGAGAGTGAGTACCCAGGTAGTTGCTGATAGCATCGCGCGCACGGACACGGCAGGCGCGGAGGGGCCAATCGGAGTGGTTGTGCCCCAACTACTCACAATCATCAGATCTCTCCACGACGCGTTCTCCACTTCACCTCGCGGGACTCATTATCATTTTGACAACCGAATCTACATGCGATCCTATAGAACATATCAGAAAGCAAACAGGACGATTTCGACTGGCTTCACCACGAATTGGTCCGGAACCCCCGCTTTGACAAACGCTCCGCAGCACCTGACCCAGGCAACGAGCCAGCTTCAAAATGAGGGTTCAGCCTTGTCCCAGCTGCACTCCCAGCTACGTGCACCCCCGGGCAGGACGGCGGCGTGTCATCAGTCCCTGCAGTAGCAACCTCGCGATTTCCTTTGACTGACACCCCATATCGACACCAGCCAAATCAACTTAAGATTGTGCTCAGGCCCCAATACATCAACAGAACTATCCAGACGCTGCTATAGCTCCTCCGCTACTGACCACAAACTGCGCATGATACCGCGCTGTTTCCGTTTTCCTCTAACATAAAAGCACCACGCTGCACCACGACACCAAACTGACAACGACTCTACAAGCCTTCTTGTGGAAGGAGCCATCTATCGGACAGCGTATCCCAAATCATGGCCGTTCTTACTGATCTGCCCCCAGAAATCCTAGAGCAGATCTTCCATTTCCTAGGAAGCATCGACGACGTTCACCATCTTGGGCGCACATGCACCAAAACCCACCATGTCATCAAAAAACGCAACATCTATCTCGAGATTATGCGCTCGATTATCTACTTCAACCCCCAACACCGCTACGACTTCCAGCTCAACAGAGCCCTGTTCCTCCATTCCAAAATCGTTGGACACTTTCAACACCACGTGTCACGCTTGCCCGCCAGCCAACCTGGAATGAATAAGAATAACTGGGAGCATTATTTAAACAGTACGGCTAATGCATGCTGCTCGCCACAAGAATGGACAAATGATGCAATCTGTGACGTGCTAGCACGATACCAAGGGTTACGCGTGTTGGAGAACACGTGGATGGAAAGGGAACTCCAAGAGGAAGACTTCCTGTCTGTAGATCATACCTCGGATGCCCAGCGGCTCGTGCATCGATTCAAAACGGTCGTTGGCCGTGGCGATGAGTTCACATACGACGATATGCCTCCACGCAATCCGGAAACGCCACACACCTGGGGTTATCGCAGTCTCAACGCCGATCAGAGGGGACGATTCTATGCAGCGGTGGTGTGCATCTGGCTTCTCAACGAGATCAGATGGGTGTTGACCCATTTCAGCTACCCGGCGAACTTCACTATCCAGATCGGGATCTTGGAGTCCTGCAAGAGCAGGATTGTAGCAGAGAAAGATACCCCACTGCTGGATGAACTGGACCGTCACGCTGTATTTGCTTTCATGTATCAGCATGTACTTCCACTCCATGCCCTATACTTCGCCGACGCCAGTTCTTCGCACCTACCCTTCACATTCGTCTCCGACTTCTCCAAGGACATGGCTCACTGTCCCAGGTACGTGTCTCGCATCAACAACCCCATCTCATGCAACACCCAATTGTATATGTACTAACCACCGCGACAGACTACTCCAACTCTTCCTAATGTCCGGCCAAACCTACTTCCAACCCCCCGACCTAATCGACCTCATCGTCCGCTCCAAGGCATCCCGCCACCGACCTTACACCGACCTCCACACACCCTGCTCAACCATACTATGGAGACACCCTCGACGAACTCATTTCCAGCCCTACAATGACCTCTGCAATGAAACCAACAAGGCGCATGTTCAGCATAATTCGACACGGCATCTCACGCTCATCACGCGCTCTTCCTTCCACCAATCGCGCTGGGATATGAGTCAAGGACTTATTAGAGCTCCGGCGCTTGGCGAGGCGTTGTTCAGAGTACCGGATCACGCGAAGCGGTACTTTTATGATCGCGCCATGGTGGCGTTTGAGATGTGGGAGACGAAGCGCACGGGGTTAAAGGATATACGGGCTGTGTTTCCTAAGAAGTGGGAGGAGATCAGGTGGTCCATTTGGTGGTGGGCGGGCAGTGAGGAGAAGGCGAGGATGAAGATGGAGAGGATGAGGGAGACGGTGGGGTCGCAGTAGGGCGAATCTTTGCTGCTATGCATCATTGTTGAATCGTCGGCGGGTGATTTTGGTGGATGCATGGGATAGAACAGCAACTCATAGTTGCGACACACTCATTGAAGTCAGGGTAATTCGTGATCTGGATGCAGAAGGAGCCGTGGTCAGGTGCCATCGTATACCGGAGTGTCTAGGTACAACATGCGTAGATTGCATATCCGGGGTATATAGCGGCTAATACTTCTGATGCAAGATGTCGAATGTGTAAACACTCAAAATCTATCATTGCTGGTTGCAATCGCATCGATTGTAGTTCATCAGGTGACATGGCTATTTCCGGGTATGCGGTCTAAGACAGTTGCGGGCCGGAGCGAGGCAGTGTGGCTGGGATTGTGGCTGTCGTCAAAAGAAATCATCGATCTAAGGCCCGAAACTTCTAAGCCTCAGGCCTGAATGCTTGTGAAATTAGAACAGGGCAGCAATCATGACGCAACTTCTATGGATCATGGATGATACGTGAGATACGCAGGTTAGGCATCCTTTTGACATCATTGTGGCCTGCTTGGACTGTGTTTGAGAATGACTCTCAATTTACGCGTACTTGGATGCCGAGGCGCATTCGGCCTCGAGGCGTAGCGGAACGTCCAAACCCCATGGCATGAACACCATGTCGACGTTGACGTGCAGCAACACGCGCCTTGGTCTTGCTTCATAGAGTTAAACCATTTATAACGGGATTAGTATCCGCAGCTTATCAGTTCCAATGCATCGGGTACAGCGGCTAGGATGGGTGAAGACATAGTGGTGCTCTTGGTAGAGCGGAGAAGGTGGACAGTTGAGGACTAGCTGGCAGGGCATAACTATGAAGGCTTGTATATCGCAGACAGACAATACGGACTGCTAGGAGCTCGCGGCAGAAATCGGGAAGGTCAATGGCCGCGTTCCGTTTTCCCGTAGGCACAGGGATCGATAGATGGCTCGCTCGTGCTGCCGACCATTGGCATAGGAACGTGAAAGTGCCGGCACAACACGGCCCTCACCGAGGCGCCCGATGTCCCAAGATCCAAGGCCAATTGGGTGCAAGCAGGTGCGCTGACATGAGCAGACGGCGAGATTTGCTGTTTGTTGGAGCGTAGGCAGCCATGTATAAAACAGCTTTTGGCAAGTGAGGGGTCGAAGATACTCGCGAGACGTCATTGGCGTGTAGAAGCGCGTCAACTGCGCTGCTGGAAAGTGAATGCAGAACCACGATGAATGCGAGGGTTGTCAACGCAGATGCAGCCATAGAACAGGCCAGCGACATGTCAGCTGCTAGCAGCTACACGGCGGCTCTCGGGCCCTGGGCGAGGTCGTGGTGAATGCGCCGAAGTAGCGTGGGCTGTCGGGTTCTCTTAGAGCACCACCTTAACGAAGAAAAATTCGCGCTTGAGAGTGACCCTCTTTCTCCCACCTACGCTTGCTTCTCCCGCACACACGACAGCCAATTTTCTTGCCTGGCGCCCCGTCTGCCTTGATCACGTCGCATCCGACCCTCAGACGCCGCCTCAGCCCGCTCCGTCGCTGTTGCACGCACGCCAGACGAGCCTGTACCGCAACCCTCGTGTGCCTGGAGCCCGTACCTCACTGCACCCTCCAACCCTCATTATCCGCCCGCAACCCACCGCCCACCCCGAGCACTCCGCCGACGCAGTCACAGCTGCCCTCTCTGCGCGCCTGCCCACCCCGCCGCCCACGCAGACTCGCTCCAGAGGTTAGTTCCGCCCACAGCACCGCCCACGCCCGCCGCACGCTTGCTTCCTGCCTTGCTCCCCGCCTCGAGTTTGCTCGGCACGCTGCGCAACCCTCCTCCCCTTCTCCGCCTTTCGGCCTCTCCCAGTTGCGCTCTGCCTTTCACTCGCGCTCCTTCCCGCTTAGTCCTCGGCGGCCCACGCAGTCATTTTGACTTGTCGTGCGCTCGCTCCCAGTCCTCCACCACAACTCCCCACGTCACTTGTTTCCACCACCACGCCTTATATGCTGCCCACACTGCGCTTGTAGCACCTGTGTCCTTCGCTAACCCCCGTCACTGCAGTACGCGCAATTACCGTTACAGTCGCCAAACAGTGAAGTAGGAAGCATTTACTTTCCTCACATTGTGCGAGACCGCCTCGGTACAAAGCCCTCGTCCAGCACACTGCCCAGCTCTCCATCAGTGCAGAGCTATATCGCCGCCACACCGCTCAGTCGTCAACGCAAGGCTTGGTAGCAGCAAAGAGATTTGCGTGCGGGGAGGTCAAGAGCAACCTCTCCGGACATACCAGCGTCAACACCTGTTGGCCAGCTTGCCGCAGCGCTCCCATCGGGGACCCCAAGCGCTTACTCTCGTCTTACCAGCCGGACTTTAGTCGAGATCCTCACAAATTCCAAAATGGCCTCCACATTTTCATATGCGCAAGCCGCGAAGGGCGTCGTCACGCCTGCCACCACGAGCAAGTCGGCATCCGGCTCTGCTACACCAGCCAAGGACGGCAACGGCGCATCTGTCCCAGAGACTAGCGCTTCACCCAGCAACTGGGCCGAAGACGTCGAGTCTGAGTCGCGCCCTGAGCAGCCTGCGAAAACCCGCGAGGCGCGCACAGAGCAAGCCGCACCCAATGTGGTCAAGGTCTCACAACCCGTAGATGCCTCCAACATATCCTCGCCGGATATGGGAGCCTCCACCTCGTCGACAGTCACCAAGGACGACGATGTATCCTCGATACCGAACACCTCCTCTGAGTCGACCACCTGGGATAACAAGTCTCAGGCCTCCACCTCGGTCGATAAGTCGGTTGAGCCAGTCGAGAAGACCTCTGACAAGGTCAAGAAGGCCAAGAACGTGCCTGCGAAGCCTCTCCAAGAGGCGCCTGTACCGACTGTAAACCCCTGGAAGATACGAGCGGATACAATTAAGTCTCAGGTGCAGAAGGTTGCGCCTCAAACAACTCCCAATGGAGTGCCCCATGGGGCAAACGGAGTTCAGGCCAAGAACGGCGACTCAAAATCTCAAGAGAAGATTACAAACGGCGAGAGCAGAAACAAGGGACGAAAAGATTTCAAGGGTGACCTCGATGCGAGGAACGGTGCTAAGGGCAGGTTCCCCGAGAAGGATGCGAAGGCCGCTCCGGCTTCGAGCGCGCTGCCTCCTCCACCGAACCGCGACCAGGAGTCATGGCCGACTCCCGAGACCGTCATCGACGAGGATCGCAAAAAGGCCCAAGAGAAGGGCGAGAAGGAGCAGAAGGAGCGCAAGGATGGCGCTTCGACTAGCAAGCATGAGTGGGTAAAAATCCCCTACACACCAACAGTTGTGTTCAACACGCCCCTGCCAAACGCGGCAGGCGCCAGGAGAGGTGGCCGTCCTGGAGGACGTGGTGGAGCAGTGAACGGCGGCAGGCCTACTAGCTTTGGCAACGGTGCAGAACAGACCGAGAAGGATGGATTCGCACCGAACGGCGAACACACGAGGCGCGAGCGCGCTGAGACAGCTACCCAGGATGCGTCTCCCAAGGCAAAGCGTAACGGTAGCGCAGATGCCCCTACACTCAACGGCCAGGCCCCTGTAGTCAACGGCGACGCCGCTGGTAAAGCCGCTGGCCCCGTACCCTCCGAGTCTGAAGCGCAGCCCAGGCGATCGTCATTGTCCAACGTGCCTGCTCAAAACGGCGCTTACCAACGTCAGTACCCCACCAAGCCTCACAAGGGCCGCCGAGGCGAATTCCACGGTGCTGGAGAGCGAAGGAGGGATGGCGCATCCTCACCCACCAAGGATAACACCTGGGGTGAACGTCAGAATTCTGCTGGAACGCAGACAGACGCCGCTGGAGATGGTGAGCGTAGAGCGCACACCTTCCAGGACGGCTCCTCGCATGGTCATTCCAAGCGCTTTAGTTCGTTCTCTAACGGCCGCGAACGTGGCCGCGGAGGTCGTGGCGGCCGTGGTAACTACACCAATGGACACCATTTCACCAACGGGCACTCCACGTCGAGCTTTCCCTTGGGCCCACGATCGCCCACGACCTTTGTACCTGAGAGCAATAGCTTCTTCCCCGCGCCTCATGGCAAATTCGGTCGCAACAACCACCGTTCACAGTCATTGACCACCGATCCATACAGGTATCCACCGTTCCAGCCCGGGTACCCAGCTCCTATTCAAACGTCGCATGAGATGTATCCTTATGGAATGCCTGCGCCCATGAGCGCTGGATTACCGTACAGCCCATACGGCGTCGATCAGTACTCGGTCTTCGCTATGATCACGACCCAAGTGTATGCTTTTTATCCGCCCGTCACAAGAAACATGCTAATAGATTACTAGGGAATACTACTTCTCTGTTGATAATTTGATCAAGGACTTATACCTACGTCGCCACATGGACTCTCAGGGATTCGTTGCTCTTGAATTCATCGCCGGTTTCAACCGCATCAAGAGCCTGTCTCCTGATATCGACATGATCAGGCTCGTCTGCCAACAGTCTGCCACAATCGAGTACCGCACCAGCGAGAACGGCCAGGACCGACTACGTCGCAAGGAAGGCTGGCAGCAGTGGGTTCTTGACATGGCCGAGCGTGATCCGTCTGCACAGAACGAGGGACCAAAAGAGCTGAACCAGCCTCAGGTCTCTCGCCCTGCAGGCTTTGATCCATCCAACCCCCCTCAGTGGTCGGCCATGTCCCCAGCATTCAGCCCGTTCGGTAACGAGGGCGCGTATCCCCAAATGAACGGTTTCCATCCCGTTGCCCAGGATGCCGGTTCAGTGCCGGCGGAGACGAATGGGGTGGCTGCCGAAGAAGTGAACGCGGCCGTCTCGAATGGTCACCCAATCGAGAGCTCGACAAAGGCTGTGAGTGGAGATATTCCTGATTCTTTTTCCGACTTGCAACTCGACAGTTTGACAGTCGTCATGCGCAAGCAACCCCCATCGCAAATGTCGTTGCCTCCTTCCGTTTCCCGAACGTTTTCTAATGGCTCCATCGATAGTAAACATGGCGTGCCAGATGAGCCGGAGAAGTCTATCACCTGCCAATTGAAGGTCAACGGTGCCGGAATGTCTGATGGGTAAGATGCTGTTTCAGAGGAGCTGAACCTATGCGCTAATCACGTCGATAGTAGCCCTGAGAGCCATCCTAATCACCCACAACTCGACACCGACCCGTTTCGATCGACTTCTCCAATCGCCCCTGTTCGCCTCTATTGGGTCAAAGATCACCACAGCCCAGTTCACACGATCCCTTCTGATTCATCGCATGAATCGTATTTTCACCTTCGATCCAAAGCTCTTCATCAGCGTTCCAACGCACCCATCGGCACAACCCCTTACGACATGAACGTTCTTTACCAATTCTGGTCGCATTTCTTGATTCGGAATTTCAATCAATCAATGTATGACGAGTTCCGCCATTTGGCTTTCGAAGACGCCGCCCACCGGAGGACGGATACTGGCATTTCCAATCTTACCAAATTTTACGGCGAGTCTTTGCTTTCGCCACAGAGCGTGATTCGGCAGCGGGTAGCTTCAGACTTTGTTGAACTTATCAGGACCGAAGACGAGCGACATCCAGCTTTCGATCAGCTGAAAGCAGTTTATCGCAGCGGCAGCATGGACCCTCGGAGCCGACAGCGTATTGATGATCTGCTTGATGCGGATACCTTGGCTCTGTTGACACTGCAATGATGCTTTCAGGGTACTGTCTCAACTCTGTCGTATGAGCCAAGGTTCATGCATGTCTTCGTCCCGGTCTTCGGTCTTGTTGCTTCTCATCTTCCCCTTGCGAGTTTTCAGACTGTGTATACATTGACAAAAAGTTCATGTTCTGGCGTTTTGAACCCGGTCGGCGGCCGACCAACTGTTTTTTCCTCCTTCGATAGAATGCCCTCGCGTCTCGGAAACCTTTTCCTTTAATGTTCACACGAATTACCAATCCCACAATACGAAATACCCTTCTCAGGAATATCTGGCTTTTCCCCTCTTTTTCCTGGATCTAGGGGCCTCGTAGCATTGAAAGCTGGCGTTTTTGTGTGTGTGTGTCTACCTTTTGCATGTTCATCCGACTCAGCATACAAAACTCGATGGCAGCTTTCTCTCCCCTCAGGCATATATGGTAATCATGTTCTTCCTTTACTTATAGGTGGATGTGGTTGCTTGCGAGTCTTGTTTTCCATGAAGCAAAGTATATAAGCGGATGTCAGGTCTGCGGATGTGGCTTTTGCTTTGTAAAAGTACGAAAATGAATACCTTCTGTTCCTGGTATTGAGCTTAGACCCGTATGGTGAAATCTTACCTCGATCTTCCAGGTGTCGCAGGATGACACGGTCATGTATCGTGAAATGGTTACCGGTGCCGAGTCGCATGGCTGCTACTCCGATGCCGGTCGTTCATTACAGTCGCTACCATTCCATCCCTCACGAGAGATTCGCATCCGGGCACACTCCGCCAGGCAATAGCAGCGCAACATGGCTAAATCACTGAGCCATCGATCAAAAGATGTTTGGAACTTGCAGCGGTGGTTTACAGGCGGAGAAGATCAGGCTTCACTTCACTTGAAACGAAAGCCAGGGTGCGGTGAGTGAGTTGGCATGTGATCGTCGTCATTGCTCGGCGTTCCAGACCAATGGTGCCGATCGGTGGCGACATTGACCCTGCGCCTCATTAACGTCGCCTTCCCCACAGTTGGACGCATCACCACTCTCTCCCCTCTTGGAACACACAATCATCATGGCACCTGCCGTGGTGCATCTGTATAATTCGGTGGCCAAGAACGCGAGAGCGTTCAAGTAAGTTCGCAACACTATTCGAGGAGGTCGCGTACTGATAGACGAAGGGCTGCCTGGAAACATGCTGCGAAACTCGTACAGAAACAACTACCAGAATCCACACGACCTGCCGATGCAGTACTACAGCCTATCCTCGCTCGAAATGCTCCAAAGCACCCTCTTCACCGCATTGCCTACCTCAAGCAGAGCAAGGGCCGATGGTACACCACCCACAGCCAGATCAGCGCCGCCGTGCGTCGCTTCACCACCTCTGCAGCTCGCAACTCGGGCGTGAAGTATGACAAGGCCTCCTTTCCCAAGTCACGCATCGGAAGCATCGTCAACGCCCAGGCTGGCCGCGCACCCTTCGCATCGACCCTCCGCCCGAACCTTACTGGTGGCGCATTTGGACGAACTGCAGGAGGCTACGGCTGGGGCTCTGGCAGGGCCGGAGGCGCGCGTTACTTTTCGCATGGACCCGCATCTCCCGCCCAAGTCATCAACAACGTCTCTCAGGCTGTGCGAGCGTTCCTCGTCGGTGGACAGAAGGCTCAGTTCGATGGCGTCAACCCTCACAACGGCGAGAAGCGCTTCAAGACTGTGTCCGCGCTACAAGACCAGGTCAACCGTACGCTGAACAAGGTCCCCAAGGCTACCCCTGGATCCTACATCAGCTTCAACGTTAACCCCACCGTCACCGCTCTTACTCCCCTCAAGGCCGTCAAGGGCTTCACCTCTTTCGCCCAGGAGAAGGAGACACTACACAGCGAGGGTCTCCTCGATGTCCTGTCCGTCGACTTCTCAAGGGCCGTCAAGGAGCTCGCAGCCGTTTTGAACGACCTGCAACGACTGGCGGCACTAGGCGACCTTCCAATCTCGTATGAAAACTCGGTCCTCAAAGTCCACTTCCCTGGCTGCGATGCGCAAACAGTGGAGACGATATGCAACGACTTTGAGGTCTCCAGAGGCGCAGTTCATCAGGACGCGGACTTTGACTCTTTCGTCGGCACCGATATCGCGCTACTCTTCCCCTTCGCACCCAGCCAAACACCCTCCGAATGTTCATTCTACGACAAGCCCGTTGCCGAGCGCCAACACGTACAACCGAACATCGACTGGACGCACATGCTCTCGCCATCACTCGCGGCTTCAGAAGACTTTTCGACCCATTCGGAACAAAGCTACGACCAGCTAGACGACTTTGAAACTGAGCCAAACCCGTGGTTATCTTCTTCGTCGCCATCAGGATACGACAGCTTGCATACTAGCGAGGCTGATGAAATGGACATGCACACCCCGTTGGAATACCAGGGCGTTGAAGGCATGTATAGGTTTATGGCTCAGTGCGAGTCGCGATAGATGGATATAGGAATGGTTTGACGAATGATGATACCTCTTGGCTTAGATTGCTAGAATAGCGTTTTGGATATTTTCCTCTCTTTTATAGAAATATCAATAAATTAGATAACATAAAAAACCTCTGTCATGCAATGCGTAGGGTGTCAGTGCAACGAAAATTAAGAGTCATTATGAGCATGCATGATTCTTCTCACCTTGCACTGCCGACAGGCGACATCCGCATCATAATCATCATCAAGTCTAGCCGAGCGGCACAGTTCCGTCTCTGCATTAACCGGAAGAGGCAGGGCCTATCGAGCGGTTTAACGTAACAAGCTCGGGTTATGAGTTTATTTCCGGACAAGGGCGCAGAGATGTCGACCTCCACTTTTTTTGCTTGCTTCCTACTCTTCCAACCGAGGGAGGCGCAAACATGACTCTCAACATGTTCGCACGCGTTTGCGAGCTGGAATCTGTGTGTATTCCGGTGTGTAAGGTATTCAGGTAATTGTTGCGGGTTAAAGAGCTTGGAAAAGTGGGATTGTGAGATCGAGGAGGATTGTGCTGTGTGATACCGTATTCCCGGGAGAAGGCGAAGACGACGAGAAACGACGAACGAAGACGGAAGGGGCTTTGGCAAAACGCGGGGATGGAGATGAAAGCACCGCAACGGGAGAAAGAAGAGGGAGTCAATGGACATGTAAGAAACGACATGTCAACAACGGAAAAGAGCATGGCTATTGCAAACCCGCAACCGGACATCGAACTCTATACAACCAACACTCCACAATCCATGCCAGAAACCTCGCCAACCCATCAACCACCCCACGCATCAAAACCAAACAAACCTACCTCTCCCCCGGATACTCACCCAGTCGACGTCCCCCCCAACGGCGGCTACGGCTGGATCTGCGTCGCCGCCGTCGCAACGATAAACGGCCATACCTGGGGCTTAAACTCCGCCTACGCCGTCTTCCTCGCGCACTACCTCTCTACCTCCACGTTTCCAGGCGCAACACCGCTCCAGTACGCCTTCATCGGCGGGCTATCCATCTCCCAGGCCCTCATCGTCTCGCCCGTAGCCACATACACAACCCGGCGCTTCGGAACCCGAACCACCCTCTTCATCGGCGTGTTCTTCGAAACCGTGTCCTTCATCGGTGCGTCCTTCGCGTCTTTCATCTGGCACCTTTTCCTATCCCAAGGCGTGTGTTTTGGATGGGGAATGGGCTTCCTTTTCGTGGGGTCCGTGGGCATTGCAGCGCAATGGTTCACCACGCACAGGAGTCTGGCGAATGGGTGTTGTGCTGCGGGGAGTGGGCTGGGCGGGCTGATATATAGTCTTGCGGCTCAGGCGATGATTAGGGATATTGGGTTGCCGTGGGCGTTTCGCACGCTGGCGGTTGTGGCGGGCGTGGTGAATAGTGTTTGTGCGTGCGTGATTAGGGATCGGAATAAGGAGGTGGGGAGTAGGCAGGTATGTGTCGCTGTTTCTGTTCTTTTTTGTTGGTGATATGGATGTGGATGCGAGACAGGATACAGCGACAACGGTGGCTTGTATCCTCCAACGCGCATCCCAAGCACCCACTTGGAATCTGCATCTTTATCAACTCCAACCTCGTACTAACATCCGAATAGGTCAGCTTCGACCACACCCTCTTCCGCAAACCCCAATTCATCGGCCTCCTCGCCTTCGGCGTCCTAAGCATGCTCGGCTACATAGTCCTCCTCTTCTCGCTCCCCTCCTACGCCCGCACAATCGGCCTCACCGCAAACCAAGGCAGCATCATCGGCGCCGTCTTCAACCTGGGCCAGGCCCTCGGCCGGCCCCCCATAGGCTACTTCTCCGACTCCATAGGCCGGTTAAACATGGCTGGCAGCATGACATTCCTCGTCGGAGTCTTCTGCCTGCTTATCTGGATCTTTGCCAAGAGCTTTGGTGTGTTGGTGTTTTTTAGTCTGCTGGGGGGTTGCGTGGCCGGCACGTTTTGGGCGACGGCTGCGCCGGTTACGACAGAGGTTATGGGGTTGAGGGATTTGCCGAGTGCGTTGAGTATTACTTGGTTGGTGCTTGTGCTGCCTACTACTTGTAAGTCTATATCCCTCTTTCGCCTGGTTTCTCTGTCCGTCTTTTTTTCCCATAATTGCATGGGTTTACGTGGGAACGTGTGCTGACGCGTGATAACAGTCTCCGAACCCATCGGCCTCGAGATCGTCGCGTTCAACGGAGGGAGCTACACCGGTGCTATCCTCTTCACGGGCTGGATGTACATCGGCGCTGCGGTTTGTTTGTGGATGGTGAGGACGTGGAAGATTGGCGAGGATGAAGAGAATGCTGCGGCGGCTGCGAAGGGGGGCGTTGATCCCACAGTGGCTGAGGCGGAGAGCTTTCAACGGAGTCCGTTTGTGAAGAGGATGTTTATGGTTAGAAAGGTTTGATATCATGCTACAAAAGACATCCTTTTCAAGCATAGGTCGAAGCAGTGTGACATAGCACAAATGACACACATCACCTTACTCCATCTAAGCCTATACGGACATTCGAAGCTCCACTCAAACACACGTCAATTTCAAAAAGAACAGTATATATTACCCAATTTGCTATCCAACTAATTCCAAATTCCAAAACACGCAACCTTCCTTTCCTCCGCCCAGTATCCCCTTCCCGTTCATTCCCCAAACATACATAAGAAAAAGCTATATAACCAGGAGAAATCTGTTGTTGTGTGTATACAATTTGAGCTATAACTTCGGAAAAAACGGTCTTGCGGGGGTATATATTCCAATAGCCAACCTAAGTCGCTGTGCTGTGCTGTAAAACGACAGAAGAAAAGGGCAACGCGAGCAGTAGAAGCAAGCATTAAGGTTACAAGCGCAGAACCCATGATAAGGCAGCGACAGAAAACGCTCATATAGAGCAAGCGGCAAAGCAACGCAAAAGGAAAAACATCTTTAACAAAGGAAAAGGGTTGTTGGTTTTGCAGTTTCATCGATCTTGTTTTGTTTGTCATGGTCGCAGAATCTACCGTTGTTGTAGTTCCCTTCCAAAGTTCAATGCTAGTGGCGTGAGTTCGCCATCAACAGTGCTTTCATCGTCGTAGAAGCCGCTTTCGCTGAAAGGCTCGATTTCGGCGTCTTGGTCGTAGGCTTGCTTGCGCATCAGAGGTGGTGTGCGGGGCTGCTTGCCCAGGGCGGGGAAACCGGCTTCGGTTGACGCGCGCGAGCTGTTGGAGTTTGTGCGCAGGGGCTGGGGACGCTGCGATGAGGATGAGAGTTCTGATCCACGGCGGGCGTTGGAGGTTGGTGGTGTCATGAGGCCTGAGAGGAAGGACTGGGCGGAGTGAGGCTGCGCACGGGAGGGCGTTTGGGTTCGCGTGGTGGTCGAGGTACCTGCGAGAGCGGAGGTAGCCTCGCCACGGCCCTTGCGCCAGTTACCGATGGCGGCAGCGAGCTGGACTGCTTTGGGAGAAGCGAAGTTGGAAAGCGAGCTCAGAGTTGGGAGAGACTTTTGTCCGCCCGAGATGAGTCGCTCCTTCTCACTTTGCTCCATCTGCAAGTTGGTGCGGATGCGGATAGCGGCATCACGAACAGTCTCGCGGTCGAAGGTTGGCTGAGCAAGGGAGTTGATGAGGTCGTTCAGGTCATCAACACGTACACCAAGTAGCTCACGGAGCCAGTTGATCTCGGTGTCGCGTTCCTTCAACTTGGCGGGGGCCTCAGTGTCGACATCTTCAAGCTGGCGCTCGAGAGCTTCGATACGTCCTTCACGCTCCTGTAGCTGCTCCTGGAGAACACCAATAGACTCGCGCAATGCTTGAGGTGAGATCTTCTCTGCGCCGCTAGGAGCAAACGAAGAGGTAGACGTAGGAGACTTGGATGCTGCTGCAACAGCGGCATTGGCAGCTTCCTTTGCGACCTGAAGCTTCTCTTCCAGCAGCGCAATCTTGTCCTTGAAGTGGTCGAGCTTGGAGTCGGCGAGCGCAAGCTTGTCATTGTGGAAAGCATCAGCACGATCCTTATCTTCACGCGCAAATTCTAGAGCGCGAGCATGCTCATGCTGCATGTGCTCAAGTTGGCGTTCGAAAGTGCGCTGCTGCTCCTGCAGGCTGTGTCTGTTGTTCTCGATCGCTTCCTGTACGGCTTGCTTCTTGAGGTCGGAAGCCGCCTCCAGATCCAGCTCGTGCTTCTCCTTGGCTGTATCAGCATCCAGGCGAACCTGGTCAAGCTCAGCGCGGACACGAGCGATCTCGCTCTCAAGCTCGTGGCGAACGATGTTGACTTGGTTGTTAGCTGCGTCAACATCGGCCTCCATAAGCACGCGGGTGCGGCGGATCTCAACGTGCGCAGCATCCCTAGCCTCGCGCATGTCACGTTCGTAGCGCTGGGCGTTCTTCTGGTGCTCCAGAGATTCCCTCCTCAGCTCTTCAATTGTCTCCTCAAGTCTGGCGTTGTGCTTCTGGGTTTGCTCGAGATGAATCCTGAGTCTCATACCCTCACGTTCCTGGGTCTCCAAGCGCTCGAGCTCCCTCTCCAGACGCTCTCTTGTGCGACCTTCAGCTTCAATGCGTGCGCTGAGGACCTCGTACTTGGTTGCGGAAGCCTCCTCGTTCTTTTGCCATTGAGCACGCTCAGATGCGACTTGCTGAGAAGCGGCAACCATATCTTGCTGTAGCTTCTCGAGCTTGGTGCGCATTGACTCGCGTACTCGGGTTGCCTCCTCGGCCTGGAAGCGCGCCTCTCCGATAGCCTTGCGCAGCTGCTCTCCTTCCTCGTGAGCGTGCTGAAGGTCACCACGCCACTTGTTAGCGGAAATACGGTGTTCCTCGAGCGTAAAGTTGAGTGCCTCGTTCTCCGCGGTGACTGAATCAAGCCTCTTCTTGAGGTCCTCCTCCGAGCTTTCCAGGGCGATGTTTGTAAGCTTGAGCTGCTCGTTCTCAATATCGAGAGTGGCGAGTCTATCGCGCATATCGGCTGCATCCGCCTGGTATGAGTTGAGGCTGCGGCGGAGGTCATCTCGCTCCTCTGTCAATGTGCCAATCTTGTGTTCGTCATCACGGGAAGTCTGCTGCAGAAGCGTGAGCTCTTCCTCGGTGACCTTGAGCAGGCGCGCAGAGTCCGCTTCACGAGCCTCGAGGGCTTGGCGGGCCTCAGCTTCCTCGTTGAATCGAAGCGTGGCTTCCTTGAGCATTTCCTCAAGGTCCGCGATACGAACATCCCTCTCCTGGACGGCCTTGGAGTTCTCACGCTCGGCAACCTCTTCACCGTGGCGCTTCAGGGCTTCCTCAACAAGCTCACGAACCTCCTCAGCCTGAAGATGGTGGCTAGTGGTCTGCGCAATAGAAGCCTTGAGGCTACCGATGACCTGGTAGATTTCGGACATATCGACCTGTGGCTGGGGAATATCGACGGGAGCCTCAAGAGTGGCAGCAGGCCTCTGGTTCGCCAAAGCCTCGGCAACGATAGAACGAATCATATCGGGCTGTACATTTTCGGTGGTTGGCGCACTAGGAGCTGAAGGTTGGTGTGATGCGAGCGCTTCAGCGACAATGGAACGAATGGTCTCCGCTTGCAACTGCTCCACAGCTGGCGTTTGTTGTGACGCAAGGGCTTCGGTGACAATTGCCTTCAGGTCGTCAGGCCAGATCTGCTCAGGCACTGGGGGTGGCATTGGCTGAGGAGCGTGCGTCTCGAATGCCTCCAACACGATAGATCGGATGTCGTCAGGCTTGACCGATTCCACGGGTTTAGGAAGATGGGTTGCGAGCATGTCAGCAAGGATAGAACGGACGTCGTCAGGCTTGAGAGCCTCAGTCCAGGATGCAATCGTGGTGGAAGCAATTGCATCTTGGACAATGTCGCGGATCTGAGCAGCAGGAACAGGTTCGACAGGTTGCACAGGTGGCTGGTGTTGCGCAAGCGCATCGGTGACGATCTCCCGGATCTTCTCTGGGATCATTGGCTCGGGAACGGGCACCGGAATAGATGTGATCTGTGATTGGTGCATCTCAAGCGCGTCCTGGACGATAGATCGGATCTTCTCCAACTTCCTGTCCTTTCCACGAGATCGGTTACGGTAGTCAACGTCGGTCTCTGCTTCGTCATCTTCGTCGTCGGCATCGCTGTCCAGGCGTGCGCTAGTCGACATGCTACGGCGGCCGCGTCCCGGACGTTGCGACATCATTGCAAGTGCCTCTTGAATGCCTTGCAGGTTTTGCTCTAGCGGGCCAAGGCGGTCCTGCAGGAGACGGCCCATGAGGTCATCAACATGCTTGTCGAAAAAGCCACTGCGTGTCTGGACCTTAGATTCGTCTTCAGTAAGAAGTCCTTCGTCCCAATCGCTCATGGGTCCGGCGTCAGCATTGTTCATGTGGCGCACAGGGGAGTCGTATGGGAGCGCAGCCCGCTCATCGTCAAACGGATCCTGCACTGATGTTGCAGAACCCTGCATCGGCCGTCCCGGGAAGAATCCCCGACGGGGGCTGGGGCTGGGGGCGTCACTGCGCATCTTGAAGTTGGGTTGCAGGTCATTGCGTTCAAACACGTTTGGCGTTCTCTGAGGGGAAGACTGGTCCCAAGAGGCTTCGTCGCGCTCGACGCCAAAGTCCGAGCCCTCGCCATCCATATGCTTCATGACAGCATCAATGTCGTTAAAGGAAGCATCACCAAGTTGGTCGAAATCAGCACTTTCGCTTTCAGGGTAGCCCTTGTGCCTGCCAGATTCCATAGCAGTCTTGAACGAGCCGTCGTCGCTAGGCCTGTACGTAGTTGCTGGGCTTCTGCTTGCGTATCTCGGTGGAGACACTTGAGACTTCTCGGGATCTTCAACCTGAGACGGCTTCGTAACGTGGAAGCCGAAGTCGTAGCCAGCGCTGTTGAATTGCGGTCGGAACTCGAAGGGCTTGGCGTTGGCAGAAAGCGTGCTCTTGTGAGAGTGCTTGTTACCCAATGGCTCGGGCTCCTCGGTGGTTGGCGTAGGCACGTCGCTTGCATGAGGTGTATCGTCGTCTGCACCGAGATCGCTCTCTGGTGCAGGCGAAATAGGCTCCATGATGACCTCTTCCGTTGGCTGCGACAGAGGCTCGGGGCTCTTCGACTTGGCCTTGATCTGCTCACGTACGGGCGACAGGTTCTCCTTGTCTTCTGCGACGGCCTCCCTTTCGAGTTGAGGCTCTTGCTTGCTAGCGTTGGGCTGTTTGACTTCTGCCAAAGGCTGCGATGCAAGCACGGGCTGGAGTGCGAATTTGGGAACATCGTCGCCGTCAGCGCGGTCACGACGAGCTCGCTTTTCACGACCGTCGGCTTGCTTGGGTCGGCCAGATTCGTCCTCGTGGTCCTCACGGCCTTCAGTCTCTGGTGTCTGCGAGCGCGTGTTGTCCGGACGGATGATCGGCACGGCCTTCGAGCGTGTGGCGGGCTTGACGATGTCACTTTGAGATAGG